ATCCCACCTGGGTGGAAATTTTCGTTTATTAAAAAAAATTAATAGATGAAAATAATTTCTATCCTTGTGTGATCGGTACACACCGGAGGGACCGCAGACATTCGGATACAATTAGCGTCTCTTAGCCAAGACAATGACGTCGACTTTGCTAAGTATCAAGACAATTACTCTACACACACACACACACACACACACACACACACACACACACACACACCACACACACACACACACACACTACACCTCAAATTGTAAGATTGGCGAATGGATTTAGTGTCCGCAGTCATTTAAACACAAACAAACAACAACAAAACCATTTTCTACCATCCATCAATTAATAGAGTACCGGCATGTAAGTAATATTTATGTTATTTATTTGCTCATTTATTAATTTATTACAATCTAATAGACTATTTTATAACAATTTGTGGGCTTTACCTTGTCTGTTTAAACTTTTAAAACTTTTATACTTTTTAATTCAACTTACTCTTTGAAATAAAACCACATGTAAAAGACATGTAATATTGGCATAATTATTGTAATTTACAACATCTACTTTGTTTATCGTTATTAGACAACACCCTAATATGGGTTTTTATTATTTCAGCATTTGTTTAACTTTGTATCGAGACCTGAGGATGCTTTGCATATTGTAGAAAGCGAAACCGGTCGTCTGATAGTTAAATTAAATTGATTGTGAGTAAGTCTTATTTATTATTTCTTTACCTATTTGAAATGGACTCACACAAGCAACACATTCATGATTTTTCACTTCCGAATACTTATTTATATATAATACGTATATTTTCGGGTGTCCTTTCACTTAACTCATTAAAAATAAACATAACTCATAAAATAAACATTTTACAATATCATTACATAAAATCCACCAGAAATTACATTAAATTCATAGAAAAACTTACCGATATCTCGAACACGTTTTTATACGAAAAAAATTGCAACAGCGACTCGTCCAGACTGGTCTGGGGCGATAGTAAAAATGTACGAGTCATCAACCTGTGGTGCTATTGGTTCGGTGTTTGCGTATTGACCAATAAAGGGACATAGATTTTGTCAACAGTTATTTCACTGGTTTAAACTAATTTCAACACTATTTACATTATAATAAAGACTGTAAAGGCCTACTACTGCTGGGAGGCTGACTATTGGGTGTTTTACCCTACACATGGAAAACACGATGCTAATAAGGAGATACGTCCTTTCTATCCTGGGTTATATGTAATTTTACCCAATCATTTATGTAATAATAATCGTAATGTATTTTTGTATTTAGTTTTTTCTAATGTTAGATGCTAAATAAGCAAGTGATCGCTTTGTAGATCCTAGCATCCCTCATGTGGGTTATAAATGTTGCTTAAGCATCGATGTGAAAAAACCCAAATAGAAATAAGTTGGTTTATGATGAGTTGTTTTATGATCTTTGGATTGGCGATTACATTGCGCTTAATAACTTCGTTGCTTCCAAAGATTGGCAGGTATGTGTGGTTAATGATATTGATGTTGCTACAAAATGATTCTATAAAGTTCTCTCTATAGGAATTGCTTACTTTGTGCCATTGAAGAAATATAGAATTTTAACTTTCCCCAAGTGGTTCTCTGATGATCTTAGAAGAGTGACTCTGGAGCAAAATATGCTTACTATATTGTAACGACGATTTTGCTTACCTCAGGGTAAGAACATGGCGGAGAAGATTGGGCAAACAAAATAATCGGAACTAGTGCGTACGATACTCAGAGGGTTGTTGGAGAGCGTGGTCGTGGATAAGTTAAAATAAATTTGGGTCGGATTGGGGTATCTACTAAACGAAAACAAAGGGGTACTTACATAAATCTCCTGGGTCATAAACGAATAAGATATGGCAGACAAATTTACTTCTAGCTATTTTCTTTTCGGACGCCGCTTTGAAGAAAACTTCCTGCTGGAAAAAGAAAGAAAATTCTTCTTCCCTATAATCAAAATTACATACAAGGATTAGGAGACTTTTCTAAATTAAAACACAAAATGGATCAGACAAACAAATCGAACGTTTATTCTTGTCTCAAACAAAACAGTTTTTAAAAATACATATTATACAAGAGCATACTATATAACAAATTAACAAAAACTTACGTGTTATTTGTTTACAAAAGAAATGGTTACAAAAATTTCTTGAAATATTCACAACATACATTTAACTTCGTCGAAATATTTTTAAAAAAACTTCCTATATTAACGATCGTTTTCTTGGTAAAAACAACCAGGGGTGTATTACAGAAATCTAAAATATAAAACGCTACAATGTTTATGTTAATAATCGTTCTGATGATGACTATATTAGATTTTTCACCAGGGTGGTCGCAAACAGAAAGAGCAAAACTGTTTTAATCAAAAACGTTTTTAACTAAACGAGTCTGATGCTAATGTTTCCATATAAATGAAATGAGCTGATGCACACTGATTAGTCGTGTGTCTAAAGCATGTTTAGGCTCATTTAGTTTCAGTCAGCCTGTTTGATGTTGATTACCGGATCGTCGTTTTGTGTTAAAACATTTCAATGTACGCAGGCGCAACATGTTTTTGGAATTCCCTTCTTGAAACCGCTCGAGTAGTCAACAAGAAGCACATGTGAAAACAGCGATATTTAGCTGTTTCATCTATTATCAATTCAATCATCAACTATCAATTAAAAGATCCTCATAATCGAGATTTGATATAATCTCTTTGGAAAAAATTTCAGAGGACATGAAAGCACCAGGTACGAAAAATATTAATAAACTTGACTATCATTAAATATATTTTAAAATACAGAGCAACAGCTTGATGTGTGCAACTATTAAATAATATTTTTATTTTTTCCATAGCTAATGTTAAAGTGTTGCTATAACAACTGTTTTGAGTAGATAAAGTATCACTTTAACCGCAAGGGTAGATAAAGTGACACTTTAACAGCAAGAGTAGATAAAATGTTTTAACTTGTTTTTTATTCAATAAAATTTACAAATTCAAACACATTAAGGATTAAAAACAACTGCAATTTTACAATTAACATTATTAGAAATATCTATTTTTGGAGCATCACAACTTGTACTCGTTTGGTTAAACACTTGATTCGAGGTACTGGACAGGGGGGTTCAACTTCAATTCGTAAAATGTAATCATTGAATTAGTTACAGAACACACCACCAAGCGCTATTATCGGTAGATTCTGTAGATCACAAAACATTATTAATGTTTTGTGCTAAAATAGTGATGTCTTCATAATTGGCGTCTGTCGAATGTTATTGTCATAATTCTCGAATGTCGAATATTAATTGATGTTGATGATTAAGTATTAATTCAATATTTATTTTTTGTGTTTTAGTTAAAAGTGCTGTTCGATCAAGGAATATCGTATTTAGGATTTGAATATTGAAATATCGTATTTAGGATTAAAATATTAATTGTTTAGTTAAGACGTGGTATAAGGATATTTGTTTTTTTTTTTTTAAGTTAAGTTAGAAGTTACTACAGGCTTCTATGATTCCTACTCTCATAGCATAATAATTTAATATTATGTATTAATTACTACATGTTTTGAGTTTGATTAAATGAAAATTATTGGTCTAATTTAATGTCTTTGAAAACTTTCAGAACTAATTTGTCACATTTATTCGAATATATAAACAGGATTAGAGTTTTCTCAATATTACCAACTTTACAATATTACCAACTACACAAGGCGTTTGTCAATTAGCAAGCTCTCCAACATGATAAAAATATTGATTAGTACCAGAACACTCCAACGTGGCGCTGATGATCACAACATTTTTTTGTACAGATGGTACTGGATTGATTTTCTGTAACATTTGTTTGACATTTGTTGACATAGTAAGTCATATCCCTAGCAACGAAGCAACACAATTTCGATTTTTGAGCTAAAAGTTACAATTTTCTTTGAAATTCTATTTTTCACCTGAACTTGAAGTCTTGCTATAGAAAAAAATGTTGTATTGCACACGACGATAAAATCGCATTATCTTCTCTAGCATAATTAGCGTCAAAGAACAATTTTATCGTCTTGTACAATAAATAACTATTATTGGCTCATTTATAAAAGCAAATTTGTTTTTCCATGGTACAGAACCTTCTGGCGAATTAAAGTATTTCATAAATAAAGTGCGTGTTGCAGTTCTTCGTGAATATCACGAACACTGCCCTCTCTTTGTCGAAGCATGTTATGACGTACACAGCAAGCTAATGTCACTATCTCAGCATTTTCTGGAGAAAGTAATATAGTAATATGGTGGTTTTAAATACACGAAATTTTTTAGTCAGTAATCCAAAGGCACATTGCAGCATTATATATTACTGTATTGCAGCGATATATTACTATCTCCAAGAATGCAGCGACTGTATTGCAGCAATCAGTTTATTTGTATTATATGGCTATGGTGCTGCAGTTATTCTAGGTAATACTCCTATGGATCCTCTAAAATGTTTAAAACTGAACCAGTGCTGTTCAGTGAAATTTTATCTGTTGTGCATAGAAAAATTAACCCGGCTTAATTTATTTACGGCAACCATAGACATGATATGCACTATTTTATTCGTACTTTTAATTGAAGAATAGATTAAATTATTTCTAAAAATTGAAATTACAGTTCTATCGTAGCTTGTCACAAATTTCTCAATTTGAGTCTTTGTTTCCGTTTAAAATATGGTGATTGCGTGCTGACACACTTCAAAGGCGGCATCTGAGAGTGGGAATTTTGATTGTTATTTATTCTTTGGTAATACTCTAAAATATTTTTACGTTAATTTTGTATTTGAAAACTGCTGTCAACTTCAAAACTGTTTTGACAAAGTATAGTAATATTTCTAATGTAAATAAAAATTTGTATTATATTACTCGTTAAATGCAAAGAAAATTAGTGTTGTATAACTAGCGAAAAGTATTTAGTGAGGTATAACAAAACAAGAAATTTTTAAATTAAAAGTCATCAAAAACTGTACCACAAATATGACAGAAAACTCTGAGGTTATCTTATATTTTGAAGACGTTTTACCAAAAACTGGATGGGGCCTCTACTACAAGTTTATGTTGGGAATGGCGTATGTTTCATATTTTGCTAATTCCACGACACTATTTTGTGTAACAGTAGCAATTCCTTTATCAACATGTGAAACTAAAACTCCCAAAAATATTTTGTATGCCATTTTTGTTAGCTTTACTATTGGAAGATATATCGGCGGTCTGGTCCTTAATTGTCTTTGTGACATATTTGGAAGAAAAAAGTTTATATCACACAGCCTGGTAGCAAATTTTGCAGCAACTTTTATAGCAGCATTCGCATTTAATTATTACCTGATTATTCTCGCTGCTGTATTTCTGGGAAGCTCCTTTGAACATCAGAAAAATGTAGTTAAAATCCATCTGGCGGAAATATTGCCAAAGAAAAAACGTGGTCACTATTTAGCTGTATGTGATCTTGTCTGGACTTTAGGATTTCTACTTTGTGCAATTATAACTTATTTTCTCATACCGCCGTCTTATACGGAGCATAAAGTAGTTTATATGAGGTTAACTACTTGGAGAATGCTCTTTGCAGTATCTGGAGGACTAAATTTAATGTTAGCTTGTGCTTCTTCCTTACTAGAAGAAAGCCCTAGGTATTTTCTATACGTAGGAAAAGAATATCTTGCTTTATTGACACTGAAACAATTTTATGCTATAAATAGATCTCTTTATGGAAATTCATTTGACCTTAAGGAAACTGATATAACAAACATTATTTCTGACTATGGTCTCTTTTATCACCCAGATGATACTGGATTCGTAAGATCCATAATTGATATAACTGCTGTAATGTTAAAAACGGTAAAAGTGCTATTTTTAGGTCCCTTCTTAAGAAGTACTCTAATTTTATTAACTGTGAACTGTGTCTTAAATATTCTATCATTGGTCAATATCAACATACTATTATCAAAATTAGTGACAAGTGAAAATGTAACATCTGGTATAGAATTAGCGTATGTACCATTTTACATGAATAATACATTTTGTCCAAGTCTTACAGAAAACAAACTTTTCTACAACTTCTTTATGATCTCAACCAATACTGTTCTTGCACAATTGGTAATGTTGTGGTTGATAGATCGCATCCAACGAAAAATACTTCTATTTTCGTGTATGGCTCTAACTGGATTATCGTTTATTGTACTTTATCATGTTAAAGATGATATGACTAAAATGATTTTATCTTCACTTGTTATGTTTTTTGTAAGTATAGCAATGGTTGTTGTTTCAGTCGTTATTATAGAAGTATATCCTACTGCACTTCGGGGAACTGCTCACGGTGTGGTTAGTATACTAGGAATACTTCTGTGTATTATACTTATTACATTTTATCATATATTTTATCAGTGGATTTTAATTCTTTTGGGTACCATATTTGTAGCAGTATCTGGTCTAAATCTTTTGTTACGAGATTACAATAGGCAACCTATGGTTGAATGATATTTTGGTCTTATAAAATTTTAAAATATATATTTAAATATAATAAATCCATGAATCACTATAGTTTTATTAACTATTTATCTAAAATATCTGTATAGTGAAAAATGCATGTGTTTATTATTTTAGAACTTTATATAAATACAATAATTGATCTGTTCATCAATTGGGATTATATATTCCTTATCGCTGCTTTAGAACAAAAATAGTCAGATTTTCAGAAGTTTAGTTTTCCATTATTTTGTTTTTTAAAGAATAACAATAACTGTGTGCATACTTTTCAATTCATTTAGAAACTTTCACATTACTATAAAACTATTTTTTTTTGTTTCAATGTTTTAATAAAAAATTAGGAGGACATAGACTAATGCTGCATCAGAATTATTAGCCTTAAGAGATTGAAGCCTTATAGCGAAATGTTTCTAGGAGAATATCAGGCAGGATTCAGGCGTGGACGTTCAACCATTAACCAGATCTTAACACTACGACAGATCCTCGAAAAAGCGCAAGAGTTTAACATAGGTATGTATCATATTTTTGTCGATTTTAAAGCGGTATATGACAGTGTATTAAGACCAAGTCTTTACAACGCTATTAATGAGTTAGGAATTCCAAAAAAACTCATATGTTTGATAAAAGTGACAATGGCGAAGAGCAGTAAAAATTCAAAACGACTCGTCAACCCCATTTCAAATACATAGGGGGTAAGGCAGAGAGATGCGCTGGCGTGTCAGCTTTTTAATGTCGCCTTAGAAAAAGTTGTACGAGTCGCTAATTTAGATAGCAGAGGAACAATATTAATTTAATAGATCAGTCCAAATTCTAGCATATGCAGATGACATTATAACAAGAACTAGGGCGAGAACTGCGGAAATCCTAACCGAGCTAGTAGCAGCATCAGAACGAATGGGGTTACATATAAATCAAAATAAAAACAAATTCATGGCGGCTAACACAAACACAAGAGCTGGAAATGTTGACGCAAATTTAATCATCAATGACCAAAACTTCGAAACAGTCAAAGAGTTCGTATATCTAGGGACATCGGTTAACCAAAATAATTACACATCTGAGGAAATAAAAAGGCGAATAATAATTGCAAACAGGTGTTATAATGGTCTATCAAAGTACTTAGCTAACAAACGTCTGTCTCAAAAAACTCGTATAAGGCTGTATAGAACACTGATAGTACCCGTTCTCACATATGGATCAGAGGCATGGACGCTAACTTAAACTCATGAAGCCGCTCTATCGATTTTTGAAAGAAAGGTGCTACGCAAGATATTCGGAGCGGTCTGTGAGAACGGAATATGGAGGCGTAGATATAATTTTGCAGAATATCTATAAGCATACGTTTGGTGGTAAAGATATTACCACTATAATTAAGCGAAACAGCCTGCAGTGGGTAGGACATGTAGCCCGGGCCCCTGAATCGAACATGATAAAAAAGATTCTAACAGCGCAACTCGTGAGAATGAGAAGACCAAAGCTGAGGTGGATGGATGGAGTAACAAAAGATGCGGAGAAGATCGGAGTCGGCAACTGGAAAATGCAAGCAAGGGACAGAACAGAATGGCATAGAAAGCTTGAGAAGTGCTGTAGCACCAAGATGATGATGATGATGAAAATTTTAAAATATATATTTAAATATAATAAATCCATGAATCACTATAGTTTTATTATCTATTTATCTAAAATATCTACATAGTAAAAAATGCATGTGTTTATTATTTTAGAACTTTATATAAGAACTTTATATAAACACAATAATTGATCTGGTCATCAATTGGGATTACATATTCCTTATCGCTGCCTTATAAAAGAACTAGTCTATGTCCGAAATCACCATTTTTAGTTTTCAGAAGTTTAGTTTTCCATTATTTTGTTTTTCAAAGAATAACGTTAACTTTGTGTATACTTTTCAATTCATTCAGAAACTTTTACATTACTATAAAACTATTTTTTTTTTTTTTTCAATGTTTTAATAAAAAATTAGGTGGACATAGACTAATGCTGCATCAGAATAATTAGTGCAGAAGTAGTTTATCTGGACTAATGCTAGTTCTACACTAACAATATTCTTTATTTTTACAAAAACACGCAGTTGCTATTTAAGTAAAGCCGAATGAAGGGATGATTAAATAAATTACTACTGTTCATAAAAATACAAATATTTTATTAATATGTCGCTGATTACAAAATAAATTATAAAAACAGTGATTTCTTAAATTAAGTTCCCTTATGACTTTAAATCTTCTAAAGCACTGGAGTGATTAGGAAATGAGAAAAGTCTTAATCCCACTGAAAGAAAAATCCAAATCTGCAACCTTCACGTGGTAGAAGATGGGCAACATCTATCTATAGATGGCCAATGCAGATAGGGACCGAGTGATTGTCGATATAAGCAATCTCCCACTTACTCTCCAACGGCTTCGGGCGGATGAGTTGGTGAGTGGTAGGGCACTCAGTTGTCCTGAGACCGAGAAATCGGTCTCAAAGGCGGAGGAACCAAGAAATGGTCAACGGCATCAATATTTAGAAGGCCAGGAGAAACCACTACATTAAGGATCCTTGTGGATATCTCTAGTACAGCTTCCCATGACAGAGAAAGTATGCATACTGTTAATGATCATGGGCTTCGGAATCCAATATCCAGCAGGAGAGGAAGATCACAACCAGACCACGGGGCCTCTCAGGTCGTAAACCCACGAAAACTCCGTGTCGTGGAAGTCCACAAGATAGCTACGTGGAACATCACAACTATGTTTGAAGGCGCGAAGTTACACAATATTCAGCTGGAAATGGCCAGACTAGACATTTCTATCCTAGGTATCTGTGAGACGAAATGGCTAAGGTCAAACATATTCGAGAGCAATGGATACATTGTCTACCACTCGAGAAAGGCAGCAGGACCCAGACGTAACGGAGTCACAATTATTGTCAAAGAAGAAATTCGTAACTGTATTAAAAATTTCGTTCCTTTGGAACTTCGTTCCTCCAAAATGTCTATGGACCAACAGCTGACAAAACAGATGAAGAAATTGAGCAATTCTACAACCAAATTTAACAAATTCTCCGGAGTACAAAAACATGAAGCTACGATTATTATAGGAGACTTCAACGCAAAAGTTGGTGCCGAAATAACACAAGACGTAAGTGGAAAGTATGGACTTGGAAACAGGAACGAAAGAGGGCAGAGACTAATACAGTTCTGCCAAGAAGAGAATTGCATTATAGCAAATACTTTATTGTAACAAACTAAAAGACGACTATATACATACCTTGAAATCTCCAGCTGATCAAGAAGAAATGTTAGTCAAAAATCAAATCGACTACATAGATGGAACAGAGATGTCGTGAGATAGAAGAACTACAAAGAAAACATGACGAGTTTAATATACACAAAAAACTTTTAGAAATTACCTACACTCAGAGACAAAGAACTCCTCACTATATGAGAAACTCCAAAGGTAAAATTATTCTCGACTTAAACGAAAAAAAGAAAGAATGGACCAACTATATAAAAGAGCCCTTCCTGGATACGAGGCCACCACCAAGTATACGAATACTGGTCCTAGTATTTTAAAAGCAGAAGTAGAGAAAGCCATCAAACAAAGCAGAAATGGGAAATCTCCAGGCCCTGACCAAATACCATCAGGCTGACTCAAATTTCTAGACGACGACAATGTCTCAGAACTAACAAACATTTATAACCACATATACGTAACTGGAACACTGCCACACATACGGTTGGAGTCTACATTTATCCCACTTCCAAAAAAACCTAATATATCATCACGTAAAGACTTTAGACTACTTAGTCTTATAAGTCACTCTCTTAAGCTACTTCATAGGATAATTCTTAATAGAATCAAGCAGAAATGTGAAAACACAATGGGAAATAAACAATTCGGTTTCAGAGAAGGATTGGGAAGAAGGAAAGCTTTGTTCTCAATGCTAACACTATTTCAACGATCATGGGAAGTACAGAAACCAATTTACGTCTGTTTTATAGATTTTAAGAAAGCGTTTAATAGGATTCAACATAGTAGGCTGTTTGAATATCTAGAAATAATTGGAATATATGATAAAGGTCTGAGACTTTTACAACATCTATATTGGAATCAAGAAGCTTCTATTCTGGTAGACGGCAAAGAAACAGACAACATTTGCATTCAAAGAGGTGTTAGACAGGGTTGTGTGTTGTCCTCAACTTTGTTTAACGTTTACTCAGAAATAATTTTTAACAAAGCCTTGGAAGGGCAATGTGGAGTTCGAATCTGGAGAGAAACTATTAATAACATCAGATATGCAGATGACACCACAATCATGGCTAAAAGTATCGAAGATCTTCAATTCCTTGTAGATAGAGTCACAAGAGAATGCTCTAATAACGGACTAAGCATAAATACAACAAAGACAAAGTTACTTGTGGTTAGTAAACAAGACCTCGGCGCTATATAACTAGTTGTCAATAATGAACCGATAACAAAAGTTATTAATTTTAAATATCTAGGATGTTGGATAAACGAGAGACTAAATCCGGATGAAAAAATTAAAACTCGTATAGAGTTTTGCATTTATGCAGGAGGAGAATTGCAAGAGGAGCATTTATGAAACTTAGATCTATTTTGAGCAATTCCCAGCTGAACTTCTGAGAATTAAGGTCCTAAACTGTTATGTGTATCCTGTATTACTGTATGGATGTTAAACCTGGGTTATGAAGGTTAACATGATGAACAAATTAGAATCCTTCGAGATGTGGTTATATCGTAGAATGCTCACAATATCATAGGTTTAACATTTGAACAACAGAGAAGTCTTGAACAGAGTAAGTCAAGGTGAAG